TGTTACCTTAACACCTGCCAAAATCTCTGTATCTTACTTTAGTCTAAAAGGTAATTAATATTCCATATATAATTTCATGAACGTGAATAAAGTTATATACGGCTAAACAACAAATTAATTAAAGGTGTTAAATCTTAAGAAAATAGAAAAAATAAGGATGAATTTAAGATAGTGAAATGCTAATTTATTAGCCAATAAATTGAAGAAATTTTAAATTTCATTCTAAGGCAAAATTGTATTTTATGTCCTGTAACTAGGGGTGTGTGGCAAATTAATGTGGACAACTTCTTTTTGGTTTGACAAAAGTGCTCTGAAACTTATTAAAACCCGCCTTCGTTCCCAATTTGGGCACAAATTTCAAATTTTAACAAGTTACTGTCCTGCTTTGCCACACGAAAAACCGGTCAAATCCGATAACTTGTAGGTAAATTGGGCACGAATTCTGGGCTTTAACAAGTTTTGAGGCACTTTTGCCAAACCAAAAAGAAGATGTCCACATTTGTCACACACGCATAGTTACAGGGCACAAAATGCAATTTTGCCTTCATTCTAATATATATTGTCTATAGTTCGGCTTTTAATATCGATAGATAATAATTAATCAATCTAAAAAAAAAATGTTAACAAAATAATGTCCTCGATGCTCATAATATTTAAGGAAGAAGATTAATTACGTACCATTCAATTAATTGATCTTAATATTGATTAAAACAAAAAAAGAGAAAAAAAAGTTGCATATTTGTATGTTTGATTAAAAAAAACTGGAATTAATTAAATAAAAAAGCAATAAACTATGCAATATATATTTAGCCTTTCGGATTAATTAAAAATCTAAAAATAAATACATTATTGTATAATGCTGATTTATTTTACTTTATTATTTGTAGAATTATGTTAGTATATAGTTATATTGTTATTATAACCTATCTGTAAAACTTTAAATAAATAAAAATAAAAACTGATAATTATTAATTGCACTGGATTTTGTTGGTGTATAAAGCAGAATTAAATACTCATTAAGTAATATATTCCCTCGGAATTGTGAAACAAATGTGGCCTGACGTTCTTTACCTTTTTCTCTAGACCACTTCATCTTTCTATCAATAGCAAATGTATTTATTTCTCATTTTTTTTTTTTTCATAAGTAATTTATTTTAATTAGTTGACAATTTAATTATAATTAGTTGAATCAACTAATATTTGGTTGAATAAAACTGAATATCAATGTTATAACTGGTATTTACATAAATTATGTTGTTTTTCAAAATATCGCACCCTTAATTAGAGCTAGTGAATTGTAGTTTTAGTTTTTTAAGTATAACTCCGAGACGAAAAAAGTCAGATGGTACGTCGATTAGGGTTTTCATCCTGTATTTATGAATAAATACAGGATGAAAATATAAAACTTTTTTTGCTCGAGCCATATGAAGAACTAAAAATTCAATTTACTCGATATTTTTTTAATGAAAATATAAGAATTTAATTTAAGAGTTGTATGACAAAGTTTATATCCTCCAAATTTTGTAAATTCACATTAATTAAGAAAGAAAGAACGATAATTTACGTTTAATTTTTTATCAATTTTACCAAATTGATCGGTTTTGTACGAAATTCATATTGGAAATTGTGACAAAAAAAATAAAATAAAATAGAAATTAAGGTTAAATTATTATGGCCAGTGGCCACAACTGAGAGTACGTATAGAATAGTAAGTCATAGGCGCAGTCACGGTGATTAAGTGGCGGGGCCACGGCGGGCCCGGCCAACAGCCACCGCCAATGCCGCCACATGCCCCTCCATGCAATAGTAGTTTTCTTGTACTTGAAAAATAAATAAATAAAATAAATAAAAGTTACTATTAGACTGCCATTATTATGACCTATATATGATCTGCTTAATTAACCTATGAGTTATATATATGAATATAATGTAGATATAAATTTAAGCACTAAAAAAAGTTTCATAGTTAGAAATATAATATATAACTCCTTTTGAGCTATATATGGATTAATTACAAAATAAGCAAACTTATAAAAATAAAATAAAATAAAATATTTGGCTAGCTTATAATTACTTTTGTGAACGTGCAAAACATGCCTAAAAATGCAAAACATAATCATTAACTCTTTGTAGGAAATAACATATATATATATATATATATATATATATATAAGTAGCCACTAACTCATCTCACCTGTTTGGAGAAAATGTCTTTAATTTGATTAGTTAGTGATTATTTTTTTAAATAAAAAAATATTAGAACAAATTTTCATATATGCTTAAAGTTAACGTGCATATTTTGCAATTTTGGCTTACAAAAGACAATGTAACACATTTGGAACTTATGACTAGTACAATACTCGTGTACTACACGGGTGTTGAGTTGAGAAATATATGATAAAAATTATTGCTAGAATAATTTTTATTTAAAAATTTTGATGGACTAATTGATGAAAAAATAAAGAATAGGCAGTGCAGAAAGTGATTTGTAAATCATAATTTAAGAGGAAAATATGAGAGAAAATTATAATATAGTAAAATTACTACTAATCCAGACTAAGGAGACTGAGAGAAAAAAAATAAAATAAAATTAAGTATCTACACTTACCAAGTTTGAAATAAGTTAATTATGTCTAATACCGAGCCTAACTCCAGAGTAAAAATAATATATAAACAACACTAGGAAGTATAGATTTTCGTCCTGTCAGCATCCGAAGCATGAGAATTTACCAATTAGGGTTAACGTGTTTTGAAGTATTACATAGGGAGGGATGTTCTCATATTTTGTATCTGTATCACAACTTTCTCAAATTTACAAATGTTCCCTTAGATTTTTTTATTTACATCACAATATTTTCTCAAATAGAACCAACTTATCAAATTATAAAAATATGTCAAGAAAGTAACTTTAATTTTTAAAAGACAATTAATGATATATATATATATATATATATTAATATATTTACCAAAGGGAAAAAATCTTTTTCACCCCAATACAAAGATACATTAAGTTTTTCACACCGCTCAATAAAAAACTAAGTTTTTCACCCCAGAAAGTGCGAAAGTTATGCGAAACTATCGCATATTTATCGCATAACTGTTATATATGCGAATGTTATGCGTAAAACTGTCGCATAACTGTCGCTTATCAATTGCATAACTGTTGCATATTTATCGTGCAATGTCTTCGCAATTTAACTTTTTCCACCCCAGAGAGTGCGAAGGAATATGCAAATGCCTTCGCACTTTTAACTTTCGCACAATGTCATCGCGCAATTGTCGCATATTCATCGCACAATGCATTTCGCACTTTCTGGGGTGAAAAACTTAGCTTTTTATTGGACGGTGTGAAAAAACTTAACAAGACTTCAAAACGGGATGAAAATAACTATTTTCACTTTACCAAATTACCATGAGTGTATTTGCAAAAAAAAAATACCATGAGTGCAATTCAAAATTCAATATTCTCTCACTACTGAACCATTTCTATCCTTTTAATGAATTAAAAAGAAGTGTTTTGGTAGCCTTTTATGTGAGGTGTGTGTGTGTGTGTGTAAGTGTGTTGGTGAACAGCAATGAATTATATGAACAAAAGGGATTTGGGGTAAAAACAGTAAAAGCATAATATGGACAAACCCCCTTTTGGATTTTATTGCTCTTTTTGCAGACTTAAACCTGATCATGGTAAGCTTACAACACATAGAAAAAAAGATAAAGCTATATATAT